AGGGGAAATTAGGCGACGATTGTGAGGCCGGCGAGTTTGCACTGACAGGGGCAGGCCAAGGACGAAAACTGACATACACTCAAGTGTTCAAAAAGGCAGAAAGATATTAACGAGTCAGAATAACAAAGGCCGCTTTCAATAATAAAAATATATGCGGCGCTCAAAAAGAGTTACCTAGGTAGCTCTTTAGCCTCTGTAGCGACCGTAATAAATAAGACGTATTGGTAAATCTGACTGGCTAATTATCCGGTGGAATGCGCCAATTTTTTTATCGAGATTTTCTTAATAATGTTTGTTTCAGATATTTAATGTTAGAGATAATATCAAAAGACTAATACTAACATATGAGCATTCCGTGGATACAATATTTCTTTGGAGACTAGTGGCATCTTGTCGACGAAAAGTTTTCAAAATCCTTTGGCTCGAAATAGCGCGCCACTCAACATTTGCCAGTGCAGAAATCGCGTATGATAGCACCGCCGTATGTCGAATTGTTGGACCTTTTGTGTAGTGTGAGTGTTCACGTTTATTTAAATATTTATTTTTTAAATTGAAAATTATCTTACGCAAGCTCACGTTCAAGAGGCCCGGAACGTGCTAAGAAGTAAGCTAGTCTACAATTAGCAGTGAGTGACAGGTAAGAGCGGCATCAATCTGAAATCAAACATGGAAAGCCAGAATCGTGCTTGTTACTGTAATTTGTCCAGAAGTATACACGGGAGTACGTTGTATCACACCGATATCGCATAATGAATGATCTACAACGAATATTTAAGTGTTAGCGGGCTTCCACTAAGGGGGCATCGACAATTGACGGCATACGGCCCCGTCTTTTACTATTTTCATTTTATATTATATACCCTATTTGTATTGCTATCTAAACTAAAAACTTAAAATTGTAAACAGAGATGTGATTAGGAAACAATTAAGGTAGTTTTTGTATTTTCAGTCTAAATTTCAAGTCTAATCCATATGTTCATTGCCCGACATTTTCTGCGGGCTATTGATTACAAAGAGCTCTTTCAAACCTACAAGCCTAGGCAAGTACAAGCCTCAGCTTTACTTATCAACCTCATTTATTGTCGGAAATGAATTACAATGTATTTTTTTCATTTTTTCTAAAGGAAGGACTGCATATGGGAAATTTAACGACTATACCGCTCCTATGTCGTAAAGCGTGTTGCAGATGCATATATTTATCTGAATATGATAAAATTTGTTGATTGTGGATGCCCTGAAACTTATGCGAGACTTGCCATGATATTTAGCACTTGTTTGTCGTTTCCAATTAAATACAATTAAAAACGCTGCACCATGAGCTATGTGTGATACAGATAAAAGTGGGCAGGTCAGTCGGTGGTACGCCCAAATGTCGTTTCTAATATGCACAACTTATGACTTCTAGATTATTAGATATTGTTTTTTTTTCATTATTATTGCTTGACTTTTCTATTTGAGTATGGCTGGCTCATTCTCAAAAATTGCTTATATTTAACAATAACACTTGGAATGAAGGTCAAATCTCTGTATTTTTGGCCATTATAACCAAACCGACGATTACATTGTTACTGGTCTTATGCGTAATGTTTTTTTTTTTTAGAGATACTCGTATTGCAACAATGGTTTCGATATCTTCATCCCTCTTAGGCCTCTGCATGTCAATGACGCATCGTGTAACAGCTTTGTCAAATGGAAATAAAATAATTACGGTGCGGTTGAGATATCCTTTTAGTTGGTACTCCACAATATCTCCACGAGTGATACTCGTGGATAATAAATACTGTGACGACACGAAGTTCGGCATTTTTCGTGCCGCATTCACCGGGCCTGTTTTTTGACTGGTGGTACTTATCCTGTTAGGCAAGCAGCATAGAGGAACGGGCAGAATCTAGGTAACATTACTGCTGACAGAAGGCTGTCGCATTTAGCCTAGAGAGCTTTTGCCATAAACAGCGGGGTTCAACATACCAATTTTTACCTGTATTGGAAGACTTAAGTACGAGCTTCAGGTGTATTACGTATTTAAAGTATCAAGTTGTATGCTAAAGTTCTCTTACGTAGATGAAAAAATACCATTGAAAAGAACTTGTACGGCTTTTCAATTGCCACCATTGCTATTATTGCATTTCCTGTTTTTCTGATAGCATGTCCGCGACATATATTCTCAATACTTGATAACGCAGATGAGAACCCGAAATCATGTACAGATTTATTCCTTGTAAACTACATGACGAGCCACCGAGCAAATAATTGATGCGGAACACAAGGTGTGCCCAGGCACTTCGTTTTGAGCTCAGGGTTAACGAAGATGATTGAAGCCGAGGACAGTCCTTGCATCTCGTGTCCTCATTTGTTATATATATTACATTTTGCTAATTCTATACACGATATAATATTCGTAAGGAGATCTTGATACCGATTTGATATGGAAAAGAAATAACTGCTCTTCTAAAGTATTGAAAATAAATAGTTTTGTGAACATTTTTTTATATTTCAAAAACTGTAGAGTCCGCGTGCGTTCCATGCATACGGCTCTGAACGTCCTGTTCTAATCAAAGTAATCGATGACATTTTGTGAATTCTACACATGCTGCACGGAAGTATTCAAGAGTTCAAAGAAAAAAGTATTAAAAAAAAATTAACCTGAACTGGCTCTGGAAAAATGAAGCTCGAAAGAGATTCTGCTCTGGATGTAAAATGAAAACTTAACTATTTCATCCGTCTCCGTATGCAAACGAAGCTTCTTGTCAATCGAACGGTCAAATCAAGAAGCGCTTTTTCAGCGTTTGCGTTGCAAGGTCTATTTTGTGTACGCACAAACTTTAACGAAATGTCGACATAGCTGGCGAAGTGTTTTCTATAACGTTCTTATCTGTACAAAGCTAGCAAAAAGGAACTGTATTTCTCGGAAGTGACCTAATCTTAGAATTGCCGATTCACACTTGACCAGATAGCCTTGAATTTAGTCAGCAGTATTAATGAGATCCAACAGATAGGTTAAATTATGAGAGAATATTAATAAAATCGAATCGATAAATGGGTAAATGCAGTATGCCTACACGTTTTAGAGGTGCTCCATTCAATGAAAACCCTAAATGTCCGCTATGTATCACGAACGTACCGCATAAAAAAGCAAAAATTGCTTGAAGTTAAAAATTCACCAAATCCAATCAATTTACATTAATTTCGTTGCATGAAGCTTTGTAGATAAAGCCATTGTCACAACGAGCTTAATATCTCCAATATTGGTTTAAAACAAACTTATCATGCTTATTTGCTAAATAAGAACCACTACTTTTTTTATTTCTGTGATAATAAGTTGTTACGTCATATATTCTCGTCGTTGTTCATAACTTTCTAGTATCTTTCGATTAAAAGATGTATGTCGCCTCGCCAGAGAAGTTTTCCAACTACATTTTGAGTTTCGCGTCAAAAGTAAGGCCATGAAGATGACTGCGGAAGAGAGCAAAATCCGACACAGCATGTTCCGGAGGATATGAAGGCTTTTTTTATATGTTTAAGATGAAAACCGGGTTTTAGCTTTTCTCCTAAAGCCACTCAATGAATTCGGGGCATTGGAAGCGGTTAACGATTGTCATGTGGCTGCAATCAATTTCTTAAACCTTTCCAGAGTTATTTTTCCTGGAAATGCATGACGATCTTCCCATCTGGGATATCTGTCGTTGAGGAATTTTTTTAAGCGGTAATTGCATTCGCAATATAGTACCGCAACACAGATCATTAATAAAGTAGGAACGTCAATGGTACAAAAGGAACAAACAACAGGTGAGAGATGGTAAAAGGCGTGAGCCTTTAAGGGCGAAAAGTTCCTCGCCAACCTCGTAATAATCTACACGTAAATTAGTTGAATGCGATTATGTAACTCAAAACTGGCGTCAGTAAAAGGAATCAGTGGCGTGTGTAATGGCGGGTATGCGTAGCAATATTATCCAGATCTGGATTTAGTTTCCTCCTTTTCGAGGTAAAAGAACAAGGCTTTGTTACCGTACAGTGCCGCTACTTCCTATTGCAATAGCAAACTCATTAAGTTTCCGAATTTAAAAGCTGTTCAGATAGCGCATAATGTTATAGTGCCTAGGTAGGTTAGTAAGCTTTTCTAGTCAGATACTACAGGACTACCCTATTTAGTACACGGTGGAGATGGACACCCGCTACGAAATATCATACGCAGTTATGCCATCTTAGATGCCACATGCTTGTTAACAGAATACGCGTTGGACCCAGAGCATCTTCTAAAGCAGCTTAAACAAACAATTGTTTGTTTAAGCTGAACAAATTGACAAACAATCAACAACAAGATGAGCGTCAATTACTCGATCTGTTGATTGTTTGTAAAGTAAAAGTGAGTTTGACAACGCTGATAAACACTTAACATTAGAAAGGATTGCTCATCGATTTAGCGTTCTGTACAAACATCAATATGAACAGTAACAGTGCAATGATGGGATACTATGCTTCATATAGCTAATAAATTCATAATTGACTTATGAAAACTCGTTACGTGTACGGATCAGGCAATGGATAACGTGTGCAAAATAACACAGGGCAAGCCTTTTCAATCTTTCAAACTCTTCAAAAAGGTCTTTTCAACACTCTTGAGGCAGTTTCGGCGAACTGGCCACTTAGATATGTCAATTTTTGGTCAGATTTAATTTTAAATTCAAGCATTGGTTTCTTACAGAAGGGACGTCCGTCCGGCCAGCGGCTGTCTTGGTGGCAGCATTTAAATGGGCTCTACTCAGTTTTTTGCGGGAAGAGGCCTTTGACGCACGCGTAAATAAAGGAAAGACTAGTTGCAATGATGACCTCTACTTGACCATTTGTCAGCACTAAAATGAATCGTATCAATTTTAAACACAAACCCACTATTTCGCGTTATTTTTGTTGTATTTAGATACCTTCAGTTTCGAGGCTAAAGCTCACGGAGCTGGGATTTGATTTTGCCGCTTCATCGCGTCGAGAGACCCTCGAAAAACATTTTTCGAGTAATGGGTTGGGCGACTTATCTAACGAAAGACTGAATAGCTTTTCTGCGGCCTCTGGGATAAACGAAGGCTTCTGGGCACCTGAAGTGAACAAACGCTAGTAAGTATAATTATATCTTCATTTGATTTTCCGCTAGATGACGAAAGTCGCTCTGGTGTCTTCCCTTATCTGATATTCATGGCAGTAGTATTGACAGAGTTCGTGCTTCTACAGGGAGTTGCGTGTTACCGGTATAAAGCCCGTTGTTATCAGAAAACGTCTAAACGCCCCCAGCGTTTGCACTACGCGTTTAGTCTATACGTGGTTAGTGAGCAATAACGTAAAGTGGTTTGAAGCTTATTATTTAGTAACTTCAACAAATGAAAATTACGGTAAAGATGTCGTACTTTGATTTTGACTGATGTCCGTTCTTACATTCCCGATACAACAGAGCCCTGCAAACTGAAATAGAGAATTAATCAGCAATTCGTACCCAGGACTTATTACCGCGTTTATCTTTAGACAATAAGGTAAAGCTTTGTATATGACAGTATGCATTTTGCATGCTGATACGTTAAAATAATCTCGCAACTATATGAATACAAGGCAAAAAATATGTGGTGGTATTTTTATGACGTAAAGCTGGAGTCGAACTGTCCAACGTTTCGGATAATTTTTATGTATTATAAACGAAGTTACTGTAAGAAGTGCTATATTTATTGGACGTTACTATTTCGTAATCTATTTTTGGAAGAAATGAAAAGACTAACGTAGAATTAATGCAACTTAGCAAAGTTCTTCATCATTGCTTCAAAATTGGATTCCACGACCTTATTTATATTGTAGGATCTCTTGGTGGAAAACTTGAATGATGACACTCACCAAGTTCTATGATAGAGCTAAGCGTGGCTGAAGCCAACGACACCAACTGTCCACCAAAAGACGTTGACATATTGGCGAGAAATATTGGGTGAACAGAGTTCGCATACATAGGCTCGTATAACAACCTTCGTAATGCATCCATATTTACAAGCGCTTTTTCATTTAGTTTCCAGTTCGCTTGCAACTTCAGTGCGTCACACGATGTAATCAGGGTCGAACGGAAATCAGTCGAAGCTGCGGGCGTTCATCCAGCGCATGTTCCTTACCCCGGGCAATGTTCGACTACATCTTTGTTACCTTTGGGCCTAAAAAAACTTACTTGCGATGAAGGCAGATGTCACAGCCGTCATAGAAGCAGCATTCGCAACTAGAAAGCGGCTGTTCAGAACTTGAAGGATACAGAAAATTTCATGTTGGCTTTGAAGCAGCTGAGTGAGCATTGTGTAATAGAAGTAACTTTATAGGAAGGTGGATTTTTTAATCTCTATGTAGTTATTGAGCTTAAAAAGCGCAACGGCTAAGAACGCCAATTGCAACTATACGCAACTCAACGAACTGTATACGCATAAAATCAAGGGAATATAGTCATGGAGGTAGGAGAACCCTTCGGTTAGAAGTGAAAAATGGAAGAAAAAAGGAAAAAAAATATCGTCATATAGACGGTTTCAGTAATATTTTCATAGCATCTGCAACCTAGTCATAGAATGTTCGTGTGCGTTTTTGAATTTTTTTTTTGTTTTTTTTGAAACGCTAGCTGGCCCTAATGCGCTTATCGAATATATCGCGGGGGAAATTAGGCTCAAGTTACCAAAGAAATTATGCTATACGTACCTTCTGGTTAAAAGTTAAAAACATGACTTCCGTCTCTATTCACAGTAACATGGAGAGTGGCCGAAAAAATAGCTTAGAGCATTATCATTTTATAACAAGCACAGATGTGTAGAACTAATTGCATCGCAAACAATTTCGTATGAACGCCATTCATTTATTAGAAAAGTGCGGTCGTGCTTACATAGCTCCCGTGTTACCGTCTTGAAATTACGTGATATTGAATTTTTGGTTTAAGTAAGTGGTGTAGTAAGTTGTTCGAGCCTGCAAATTAGAATAAGGCCTCACAATTCTCTCGATGATCCCCTAACGATATAAGTGGCTCACCTAAACGCCATGCAAGCGACGACCTCGAGAGGTTGACGTTTCCAGACTATTTCCATCGAGCTGCACTGATCGAAATATCTTTCTCTACCATTCGCTTAGTCTCTGAAAAATAAACAGCATCAGCTTAAAAGAACAACCTTAAGTACGAAAATCCGTATTACCGGTTTGCAGTCTTTGGGAAGAAACCTCCAATGACAGTAGCTATCGAAGACCGAGAGGATTTGAATTTTGCACTCCTTCCAGTATAATCTGTTTGCGAACAAACACACTTCATACTAACTTTACTTTAGTATTTTAGAAGCTAGAAACTTAGTAGGATCCGTATTTTTGGGACAAGCCTTATTTCGGGGAGACATTTCATGCTGCCCGATTAATTCTGGAATCCTCGTAACGGTCTACGCTTTTGCTGAGTCAAAAACTGAACCATCTTCTGATTGAAAAGGAACATTTCAGTGGCAACAGAAGGGTGGGTACTGTTCACTAAAATTTAATGTGCCTATGCTGTTTATATTTTCGAGTCAAGGTGCAAAATTGTGTTGATGTTTACCAGTTTGTAAACTTTTCAGTCGTTCGATAATTTACATTGGAGTCCGGGCAATTTCATACCGATTGCTAAAACTTAATATTCGCTGATTAACCCTTGGACAGATAACAACCTGGAGTGAACCGTTATTACTTTCCTAGGATAATCGTTTGCATGGCCGTCGTCGAATGCCGCATCTATTAGAGTCTTCTGTCAAATGTGAAAGGCGTGCACGGTCAACAAAGTATACGCTTTCAGACCAGGCAAATTTAGTGCTTAAGAGGGGATCGGGCCAATCTCTAGTTGCGTAATAAGGACGTGCTTTAAGCCATAAGGCCGCAATGCAAGGTACCATGCAAGACCACAAGAAAACTTTACTTAACGCTCCTGAGTCTCTTCAAAACGTTTTCGAGACTGCAAACGTATAGCCATTGCTGTGTAAACTCCATATTGATTTAATGCCATAGTCCGATATAATTGATTGCTTATAAAGTAAACATGTAGCGAAAGAAAATTTATCAATGTCAATCCAGCAAAGTTCATAAAGTCGCAACGAATTGTTTTCCAATATTTTTTGTGATTATATACGAGACTGCACTTTAGTTTTTACCCTCTCCATTTGTTCTTGATTTTTCTAATCATTTTACACTTTTTTTCGTTAACTGAGCTGAGTTAGCTCCGATACCCCACTATTAGGCGCGTCAATTCGATATGATGGAGAAAGAAAATAAAAGACTTCTTTGCACTTCTGGTAACTCCGAGTTTACACACAATTATTTCATTCTATTTAGACTTCTACTCTTTAGAGCAGGCAGATATTCTTAACTTCTGTTCGGCATTATGTCCCGGCATCTTTTGAACAGCGCGGGGACTGGCGCCATCTTTTAAATGGCGCAGGGACTAGTGCGCCCGAATTTGATTTTATTTGGGGGGTAAGGGAACACGGTAATAATATGCTTATTATATCTCAAAGCTATTTTGACCGCACTAGAGTGTGTATAAACATCATAATTATGAATTGTTTAGAGATAAATAATTGTTCGTGGTGAATTCTAATCTATTATCGTAATCATTCCGAATGCAATGCATGTGTCGACAGTCTTTTTGTCTATGTTAATTAGGTTGTATCTTTAGTCGTTGTTAGTTAAACTAGGTCGTACCCGGAAGCCATTTAGCTCTTTCAATTCGTTTGATGAATAACTACGTAGATAAGTGAGTATAAAGAAATAAAGGTTATTGGAATTGAAGTGGTTGTCATAGGCACTTTGCAGCAATAAATTATGTTCGATCCGCGGGAAATCCATTCAACGGTCAAAGTTAAGACGTTGCCCTTCATTCATCACGTGTGCTCCTCAGAGACATTCAGTAACTTCTATCTTTATCTTATGTTCGGACACCCAGTCTACATCGTTTGGTGAATGTCATTTTGAAAATATAAATGTTTTTGAAAAAAAAAAATATATATATATATATATATATATTCTTTTTTTAACTACATTTTATTGAAGAAAGTGCTATTGAGATTACACTGCGCGATTCTGCAATCAGGTGTACACCAACATGTGAGTTCATAACCAGCACATTGAATTAGTTGAGGGAATCTCATTGTTTTTTCAGTGAAATCGGGCAAAGTAAAAGTGAATGTTTTTCAACATTGCCATGCTTTATAGGTAGATAATAACAGTAAAGCTCACTACATATACCAAAGTGTGTACCTAGCGCTGGCTTCATACAGGACCAGCAAGAAAATAGGACATGCATACACAGGATTGGCCATATTAACATTTGGTGGGCGAGTCCTCTGCGATATTGCATAATTGTGCGGGTCAGATAGGCGTCCATGTCTCTTACCAGAGCTACCCCTGGAAACGTGGTAGCGGAAGACGTGAGCTAAGTAGCTGTTTTGCTGCCATTACAAATAACGATTAGTTATTCAAAGTAGTCGTAAATCGGTTAATTTGGCAGAATCTTACCCCTTCAGTAAAGTATGACTGTTTTCTAGCCATTGCATTTTCATGGATCATATCAGGACCGTATCCAAGTGGAGGGTACAAATTAACAATGAAATCTCTTTTACGGCCTACGCATCCGCGTGCAATTGTGTACGTTAGCGCAACTAGCAGTCTAATCCATAAAAAATATAGTGCTCACACTAGATAGGAACGTGGTCATAATGAGACACACAGCTTATCGGCAGCTGCCTTTAGCCGCTGTTTTGCGTAACATGGAGGTAAGATTTTTGTTTGCCTTCGCCGGTACATGGACGCAGTAAGACAATTTCTTGGATCTATGTACGATTTGAGTTCAAATTTGCAGGGCGCTTTTTGCTGCATGTGTCGGCCGATTATAGGCTTTTCTGCAAGTCCCGAGCAAATTTTAGTAGGCAAAATGTAAGGCTATTGCATATGTCCAACGGAGTCTGGCCATACGTAGACCAAATAAAGGTTACCACGATCTTGTTGAGGTCGCATTGGTTTCTTCAAATAGAATATTTTTAAAAGCTGGTGTTCTTCACAAAGCCCTTAGAAGCTTGTCATAAAGTACACTACGTTTCAATGTTTTACTGATATTTACAAAAAAAACAAATTTGAAATCAGACGCGAAACTCTCGTCTATTTCAGGTGCTACCAAATGACGTATTTTAACCAGGAACAACTTCGAATGGGACATGAGCTTCTTTAGTTAACTGAACCGTGTCTGCCGTCAGGTGAGTGCACAGAGGGACTCAAGTTCTTAGGCGAATTACTATGCTGTCTTTACTGACTTTATAAGACAGGCATCAGTAGACAATGATACCAAATTAAATCTGTCATATTTTACCCCTATCGGATCGTTATCCCTGGAAGTTCCCTGGAAGCGCCACACGTGCGCGCGGCGGTGCACACAACCTGAATACTTTATTCAACTTCAAAAATTCGACTTGCTTCTAAAATCAAGAAGATAACGGAATTCTACACAGGGCTCCGAAAATGTAGAGAAACGCGTTGAGTAGTTTGTATATAAATATATATATATTGCAATTTGTTTGTTTATGTGGGCCTCTCCTACAGCATACTTTACTAAAAAATGGCGAACGGCAACATTCAAGCACGTATGCTGTACATCTATAACATATGTGGACATATTTCCTTACAGGAACGTAGTGCTTCATCCGTGCATTTACTTGTTTCTGACATTTCAATTTAGAAACAAAATATTAATGATTGAGTTATTTTCAGTTTTCTTTCCCGAAGTCGGCGGTGATTAATCGGGCACAAAATTATATTTACAGAATACAATTTCGTCTACTTTATTATTTGGTCAATCGATTCTAGTTATCTCGTGACAGACAGAACTCAGGCTTTTTGAAATACCGGTGTTACAAGTTGCGTCCAAATCTTAAAAAGTATTGTTGATTGCAAACTTGATCCTCCTTACGAGCTTTATGTTGCACATTTGAGGTATCAAAATGTTGTGTAGTTGGATGAGAGGTTCCAATAAACTTAAAGGCGAGCCAGGTAATGTAATCATAGCAGTTTAGAAACGAAAATGACGATGTATTTCCTTATAAAATAAGCGCAGTGTCTACTTTACGAGCCTTCTCCCCCTGGGTATGAACGACTGCGTAAAAACGTCACCAATAGTCACCCTATCACCGGTCCGTTCATTATCGTAACATTTTAGTCTGTGTGTATTTGCTTGCCCGTATACACATATCTGCGCTAAGCTTTATCGTTCGTAACTAACTACAGTTGATTTAGGATTAAGCAACTATTGAGGGTTAACTAATGCGCCAACGAACGTAGTCTACGGGGAAAACTTTCTGCTGTCGCCGAAACGGAATTTTTTCGTTTTGTTGCACGGTCGCGCAGTACCATTGGTAGTTGCAAATGGCTGCCGAGTCTTTGCGATATCCGCATCATTTTCACTTGCGCAGACAACATCACGACTGCTCGGTGATGGCTAATGAATAAGCGACCAGCGAACTCGAAAAGGGCTTACCCTTCTCTCAGATAGCGAGAGGGCTTTGGTTTGCCCTCGCCACTTGAAGATCACCACGCCGTTAAAACCAACATGTGAAAAGCTGGCTTAGGGTAAGAACTCTTTGTATAAAAACGAATAGTTCGAATGGAGTGTCTGACCGTTAGGGAATGGAAACATTGTGTTGAGAGGATGAAAGAGGAACATGAAGTACAACGGCACCAATACGAAGTCAGTGCCGACGGACACAAACGAGCCGAATGGCAAAATAGTGTTTTTCAGCTGGATAAGGGAACAGAAGCTCTGGCCCAAAAACGCTTTGCTTAGTTTATAATGATGGTCTTGAGCTAATCAATCGAAGAAAGTTTATATTTGAGGCCCGCTCTAACTTATTGATCGTGTTTGTGCAGAAAGAAGCCCGGACGTATAATGTGGAAAAGTAATTCAACAAATAACAGTGACTGTAAAAATGCTGATCATTGTTAACCGTTTTAAAAGTGATAAAAACATAATCTAACTTCGAATAACTTCGCTAATTTACGAGGTGAACGCGAAGTTTACATTAACTCCTTGAACCAGCATCGTTATTGATTGACTTGGTTAAGAAAATGGGACGACAATCAGAAGATTCCTAGTTATGCAAGAGAATAACTTTGAAATATTTCGTTGCATCGAGGTTTCCTCCGCGTAGCTTCAAAGTGTTTCGCTATTTATATATTGATGTGACTGTAACAGTCGGACGACCGCGTCAAGTTTATCCCATTATGCTCACAGCCATGTACAACTGGCAAGCAATAGTCGCTAGAACATCAGCTATACTGATCGTGGCAATACTGGTTTAAAATATCGCAGTCCAAAACTTCTTGACGTTTCGCCATTTTGGTGAGTATTAAATTTTTAAATTACTTCCTTTGAATTCTATGATTATAATATTTATTTCTTAATATGTCAGTGTTAGCTACGCAGCAGTTGTTGTCGTCATAGACAATTATGTTTTGATGATAAAATTTTTTATTTTGCCCAAGGGAGCTTTATTTATTCCTGCTATGATGCCTTGAGTGGGTCCGAAGTATCAACAACAATGAAAATCAAATGCCATCCAACAGATAATATCACGAACTGTCACCACTTTTTTGGACGGATTATATATCTGATCGATATACTAGATGTTATATACAATATATATAATATATCTGAGATCTTAAGAGTCCGAGTACGGTCTGACACAAGTTTGTTTATGAAGGAGCTTTTATTGTAGAGAATGAAAATGCGGGTAAATAGGATGTCCTTTCTACTTATTAACATTATGATATCCTGAGACATGATTTTCGCATTGCGAAATAGGGTCACTATTTTCTTAGACAAATTTAAAGTATCGAACTGATTAATCGGTTCGGATAGCCATTTTTCATTCAGGTGTAGGCCGTTACTGAATTTATTCTAAAATTATTTAATACATGAAAAAAAAAAAACTAGAATAATCAAAAAAATAATATATCGATTTTCTTTGAGTTTGCCTTAAATACGACCGTGGTACCCGAGACGTAGTTAGGAGCGAGAAGTCTAATTTAGCATGCGGTGATAGGTGAGTGGCCTACTAGAATCAAGGACAAGGTAATTGGCTCTGTAATTAGATTAGCTAGGCATATTTTTTGAATGACCATAATACCTGCGTAAAAATTGTTGCTTTTCGTGTCGATATCGGCATTTGCTTTTTACAGCACTTCAGTTGTTTCAATTTTAAAATAATGATAAGATAAGGAAAAAAAGTTTTTTTCTCACTGAAAAGGCTATTTAATTCAGTTTCTGTTTTGTTATTGTAGCACAAATATGAGTTTTGCCTGAGAGTGGTCAAGTGTAGTACAGAGCAAGAGATTGCTGCTATACCTGAATTCATATCAATTGTACCCACCCTCAACTGTAGAATTATTTGCTTATCTAATTTAGTTAACTCAGCTCGTAAAATCGTCGAAGCGCTAACTTACATTTTCTAATAATTGTCTACTTCTTAACCAAGAAAACGTTTCTTATATTTTTCCTTGTTCTCTTGAAAAGACCCTTTTTTCGAACTAACGAAGGGCTACTTTGTTGCAGTTTAGAATTTTTGTGTATATTTACTGTGGGCCAGGATAAAGGCGTTCACACCTCCGACGTCAGATTTTGTAAATATATGCTCCAAATACAGATCTACTATTACTGTGTGGCATAGATTTTTGAATGCCGCAGTGATTAGTGGTATCACAATTCATCTCTAATAAGGACTAGACATTTTGGTTTTTAACGTCCAAGATAGTATCTTAAATACATACTTAGTTGCAAGATTTAATATAACTTAGTAGGAGACTTCGGTAGAGTTCACGTGCAATATTTCTAAGAGAGCAGCCTCTGGAAATTTCGCGTCTAGCTTTGCAACACCTGAACCGAATTTGGAAATTTTTGTGCCAATCTTCAAACTTGCGGCCCGACCTCCAAAACTTTCGGCTTGACCTTCAGAATGGCCTTGTTGCCTCCTTTGAGGCAAGAGCTTTTTGACCCTATGAGATCCTTTAGAATTTGACCAGTGAAGAAACCCAGAGAGATATGAAATTTCAAGGATGCCTACGAAATGGCAGATTTAAAGCAATATGAGAGACTGGAGACTCTAAGCCGACCTATAAAAAAAAAAGAGACGAAATCAAGTGAGATGGCTTGAGTGGCTTACTGATGGGAGTTATTTTGAGGTGGCTATAGATGCGGGGGCTATATAGTAGCCACGACGATGAGAGTGTTCTGAGGAAGCGTTGAAAATGCATAGTTTCACGGAATGTATAGAAGATATATTTTATAAATACGTAAGAAGCAGGTGGCTTTAAGAGAGTCAGGAAGGTCGTTGTTAGAAGATTGTTTTTGAAACAGAGACTTTTGAAAGGTTCTGGGAAATGTGAATTTTTAACGGACCTTGGGAGGCGGGATCTTTTACGGAATCTTATGAGGGGGAAACCACCAAAGGCCCTGAGAGGTCGGAACAATTGAAGGGCTGTGAAAGGCGGGAACTTGTTAAGGGTCCTGGAAGACGGGAACTTTTAAGGGTCCGGTGAGGCGGGAACTTGTTAAGGGTCCTGGAAGACGGGAACTTTTAAGGGTCCGGTGAGGCGGGAACTTTTTAAGGGTCCTAGGAGGTGAAAATTACCGAAAGGCTCCGGAAGACAGGAGACTTCGAAGGGTCTACAAAGGCGGGAATCTTTTAGGGTCCCTTTGAAGTTGCTCACTATATCGCATTACCAAATTTCAAGGGCTTGTGCGAAATTGATGGGCCCTTCGGCCGATGGGGCATTAATACGGCGGCCCTTTAATGGCACGTTCAACCGGCGGTACCTTTAGAGGCCTTTAAAAGTTTCAGCAGCTTTTAAAAAATTGTTTTTCATCTTAGTTTTGAGTCTGCCAAAACCCTGACCTATTCTTCCTCATAAAGCCTTGCTGTAACCTTTCGTCTTGATTCTTGGGACTTCATCCGCTCAAATATAGATTTCCACTACTCGAATTTCTATGTGTCAACCAGTTATTTAATAGCTGCTCCATAATTGTAAAGTCTACAACGAAACGGCTTTGTGTTTTCGGAATCAAAAATACTGACTGCATGAATTGTAACAGGCGAACAGATTAGTTTTCCACAATCTGAAGCAAAGCTGGGTTCAAGCAGTGTATCACAAACTAATCAATTTGATTGATCATATTGTATTATATTAAGTCTATGTTGTCCTAACCCGGATAGTTATTACGCGCCAAAACGATTCAGGCAATTATTTAATATAGAGAAAAAACCTAAGCCCCAGACAAAAATGAGACCATCTATGAATGTTAAACCATAATTTATACATGTAATTACACTATGTCATATAATGTACAACATGCATAGTGACAGTATGATTGCGTCCTTAATGTCCAAATAGCATACAGATCAAGCCTACAGTTTTAAGTTACAACCTCTAGTGAGCAACTGTGATCAACAATGGTAGACTCATCTATCTTTTATCGAACCAAATAGGATCGACGCCCATAAGAGTGGCGTTACTTTTACTTTAATGTTTACTTATTTATCGACCCAAATGGATAGTCAATATGAATTTTTTTACAATTCTATGCGAGATCAGTTGATCAAGTGAAAACGGTATGGCCGCATAATGTTTCAATAGGTTTTTTCTTGGCATAAATACTTGGCCACTAAAATGACTCGAGAGCTAGATCATGCTGAAAAATTAACATTTTAACGATTGGCAACATATCGTATTGGCTACTACGCTCGCTTTTGTATCGGCCTTACTGACGCCAAATGTGCGAGATTTGTCTGCTACAACCAACAAAACCATGTAACAGGACAATAGGCTATAGCCGATCTTATAGGTGTTTTATTTAATTCGCGTTTTTCGCTTCCCTTGTCTTGTACCGCTTTACCGTAGCAAAGGTTGCCAAATATGTCCTACTTTTCTGCCATATGTCGAACGAGAGATTGCGTATTTATACTGGGCCATCAAACTTGCCATGTGGAACCTATTGGTTTCCTTTATTAGGGCTATCCAAAAATATTTACACTTGTAGATATTAAACCTTTGATACGTTATCCGATATTTAGTTATGATGTTTGCATTGTCACAACATGCACGTGCGTGCCTAAAGCGTTACGGTTTTAAGTACACTAAAGAATCTTAGTTCCTCGTTCGTACAAAAGGCTCATCTTCCATTGGCTGGCCAAAAAGCAGTCTGACGCTATTTACATCCGTGATTATTGCCTGAGGATTCAAATAACTGCAGGTTGATTTTTCTAGTTTCTGAAGTGTGCGACAGAGGACATGAGAGTTATATATTATGCTACCATAGAAAATTATTTATCTTGATTTGTGGTCGTCGGGCGTACATAATTCTAAATTAGAATAGAAGAAAGAAACGAGTTCCTAGGTCTTATCATCTGAACTTTAAGGAAAGATTTCGACTACTTTAATGGAATTGATGTAATAAAACTGGAACAGGTTGCTCTGAATCTTATCGTAAGAGTAGTTCTAAAAGTTTGCGTACCTTAGAAAACACATGTTACAAATATCAAGAAGACTGTTTACCTCAGATCGATCGTGCCGTCGTTGTTTACACAGCGCCATTGTTAGAATTTTTTGGTAAACTATGAAATAAATACTTGCCTTCAACAGAGACAGAACTCAAAATGGCATTACCTAAATGCAATATAAATGTAGTGTCTCGTAACGCAGGATCGTTATGAAGGTTGTTTAATCTGAGAGATACAATATCATTTATGTTGTGGTCAGATCTACACACGAACACCTTTGAGGGCCTTGATTGGATTGATTCACTTTTTGATCATCTTTTTCTTGTTTTTTTCCCTTCGTTAAATTTCCTCGGTTAATTGGGTTCGGTCGTCTATGGCGGCAGGTGACATCAACATCAAGCTTTGTATGGACGACAATGGCACAAATCGTTAAGGCAGGCCTTTCAAGTAATCTGACTATAGGTAGATCATATGCTTACACATAATGAATCTCTAATAAAGCGTTCTCGTTTGTCTGCTACGCAAATGTTACCCTCACCTGTTTCGTCTTGGCAGGTTTAAAATAAAGCCGTTATTACCAGATTTATTTTCTTGTTCTGAACGTATGGATAGGAGACGGAAAATGTGATTTTATAGTTTGCTTGGCAATTAACCAACCCATCTGAGTCAATTCGATGATTACACTGGAGTAAGCCATCTTCACATGACAACCTTGATAAACATTGCAGGGTTAATAATTATGAACACAAACAGCTTCAAAGCTTCTTTGTACAGGCAGTGCCTAAACATTCAGTATTCGCGAGCGAGCGCGCGATTATTTTTCCATTTTTAGTAATATGTATAATTA